ATACGACGGCTAGTCGGGCGAAATGGCGTCCTCGACGAGATGAGGACGGCAGAGAGATGAGTCGAGAGTTTTCGTGCGCATGCCCGGTTGAGTTAATTTACTTCCGGTAGCCGTCCTAGCTCGTCCCGTCCTGGTATCTTAAGGTGCCTAATATTAGGCAAGAGAAGATGAGAAGTGAGAGAGTTGATCACCTAAAATGCTCTAGTCGGATCCAGTCTTCCCTTGGATAATCTTGCTGCTCAAACTTCGTAGCTGTTTTCGTCGCTCTTGAAAATGCGTGTAGAGACTCTTTGGCTGTCCACGTGCTTGTTTTTGGCCGTCAATCTCTAAAGCTATACTTCTCTCTAAATACATCCCTTCCATACAAGTCTTGGAAGTGTAAATGTAGCTTATTTTGTTTCCTCTTTAGGCTTTCTTACTATTGGAATCTCATCAATTGCTCGTCCTCGTGGAGATAACTACCTTATTAGAACGATGCAAGGCTTGATAAACCGTACGAGTGACGTGGACAGGAGCGAAATCTTCGTAGTGATATTCCTTGCAGACTTTGATGAAGCAGCTAAATCTGCTACTTTGATGGAATTGTCGAATCGTTTCAGGAAATACATTGACCAAGGTTTCATTCGTGTAATCTTTGCACCAAATGATTTTTACCCGGCGCTCTCGAATATAAAAACGAAATTTCGTGATAATCCGCAGAGGATCTTTTGGCGCTCAAAGCAGAACGTAGACTTTGCGTTTTTAATGTGCTATTGCCATGGTCTCTCGCAGTACTATCTTCATTTAGAAGACGATGTACTTCCAGCGCCAAGCTTTTATCCCAAGCTCCGTGATTTCATCTCATCGGTTAAGACACCTTGGCCCATTCTAGACGCTTCCACCATGGGACACGTAGCCAAAATTTATCACGCCAACGACCTGGAGAATCTTGCCACGTATTTCTACCTCATGTACGACGAAATGCCCGTTGACTGGTTGATTACGCTTTGGCGACAGATTAAATATGACCGACCTTACCACCATCAAGAGTTTATTTTTCCTCCAGCCTCCCTTTTTCAACATATTGGAAGTTATTCTTCTTTTGCGGAAAACAAGGGCCGTGATACCAATTTATCGAGAGAAAAATATTTTGACCAGTACGACCTCAAATACAAGGGTTTGAATCCCTCGGCGACCGTCAGCAGCCAAATGACGTCTAGTTACGGACAACCACAAGATGCTTACAACAGAGGTTATGGCTATTTCAGGACCAAGGAAGTCAGAAAAGATGACTTTATTATTATCCAGTTTACTCCAGCAGTGTCGATAAGTAAAGTGTTCGTTGATACAGGTTCCTGTATTGCTCCTAATGATCACCTTCAGTCGGCTGTTTTGCAAGTAAGTTTTAACAATGAAAAAGAACAACAGACAAATGGAATTAAAACTTGTACAGTGTTTGAGACAATTGGAAATTTCCAACACGGGAAAGTAGAAGTCACTTTGAATGAAGGTAAAAACATATCGTGTTTACGGGTGTTGGTGACACAAAACCAGAATTACTGGGTTTTCTTCAGGGAGATTGATGTTTGGCAAGTTTAAACTCAAGTCTTTGTACTCAGGCCTTAATTCAGTTTCAAGTTTGCAGAGAGGACTCTCCAGTATAGGCAAGAGACTATCTCGTTTTCCTAATTTTTTTGGTCAGTACCAAAATGACCGTTGTGTTGACGGACTCCATGGCGAGTTAATGGCCAACAACAACAACAGCAGCAGCAGCAACAACAACAACAACGACAGCCACAATAATAACAATAACACCCACAAGACTACAGTAACGACCGTACGATAGCAAAAAAAATATAGCAACACTAATAGCACCAACAGCAGGAGCAATAACAACAACAGCTGATGCAGAACAGCAAAAACTAATAAAATCATAGCAATGGTGATAACAATAACAATAACAACATCAACGACAGCGATAGTAGCAACAATCAAACATAATAATTATTGCTATCAATATCATATACGCGGCCATATAGGCAATCAGTCTCTTAAAAACGCGCGCTCTGCGGCCCTACAGCTGATTGGTTCACGGCCCCGTCCGATGAATTTAAACCAGTCAGGTTACTTTGCGGACGAACTACACGCAACTGTGACAAGAACAACAATAGCAATAGTAATGACATTAACAACAAGAGTATCATCATCATGATCATCATCACCAAAAGTAACAACAACAGCAACAACAACAGCAGTGACAAGAAAAACAATAGCAACAAGAACAGCAGTGACAAGAAAAACAACAGCAACAAGAACAGCAGTGACAAGAAAAACAATAGCAACAAGAACANCAGTGACAAGAAAAACAATAGCAACAAGAACAGCAGTGACAAGAAAAACAATAGCAACAAGAACAGCAGTGACAAGAAAAACAA